GCTTTAATRTAGTTGTTTTAAATGTCATTCTAAAGCATGGTTTTGCTGCTTAATTTTCTTTGTTACCTCTCTATTTCTGCAAAATTGCAACAGGTTTTGCTCTCAGCACCTCTAAGAAAATGTTCTGTGGTTATGGTATGAGTTGTCATACAGTGCCTGTAAAAATCTTCTTAATACACCCAGCAGTTGTTTTGTGTCTGTTCTGAGATCACACTGTCATTTCTCCATTTATAAATTATCCCAGTGCCGTTGGTGCATTTCTTTCTCTGCTGTGTTTGTGGCTATGATTGTGTTCAGTTTTCTGAAAGTCAAAGATACTGGCAGTAAATCCATTATTTGAYATTTCTTCTGTATGACACATTAAACAGTGCTATTTCTTTCTCTTGGCTTTATAAACAATCTTGCAATGTATATTTATGGTGCGTATAGTTATATATCAAATAGGCAAAACTATGTTTAATCCTCTGTGAATCACAACGGTAAATATGAATGGCAAGAAGTTGAGGAGGAAAAAGCTGGAATATTGCTTGTATTCCATGATTCCTGATTGAAAATTACTGAGATCTACAGAGAGTGGATTCTAGCAAGGAGCTGATGAAAGCTCTGTGCAATGGTGGCTGTGAGGGGATGGATGCCAGGAATGCAAAATATGATGTGGAGAGAAATATTTGAAGCAGAGGGGCAATCTTAATTCTGCTCTACTTTATATAACATTATTTTATTTCTTCCGGTCTGTTATACCTGGGCCACAGAGACATCCACACTTTCTCCTTCTTAAAAATGGATGGCGTAAGAGTTTCCAGAACATAAAAACTCCAAATTTTTTTTCTGTTTTTGGAATATCTTTACCAAAACATGTTCTTTGTTGTTTTGTATCTCAATATGGAAATAATTTAAGTTTGATGATTTGTTTGATACTGAATATTTGGTATTTATTTCCTGCCTGTGTTTCATGGTAGTTGAGGAGTGTTCTCTTCTTCTTTTCGTTTCTCACTGAACTGCAGGATCCTCTGCAAAAAGCAGGGACTGCTTTTCAAGGGCAGGTATCTGGATTTCTCCAGCTCTTCTCCTCATTTTCRGATTTCAGTGGTGGTACATAGATGTGAAAGAACTTTTAAGCCACTTAATATTTGTCATGTCTTTTTATCAGTTGCCTTTATTCCCATAGTTCAGATTATGAATGGCTGGTTGTAGCTGTGGTGTCTGAATTGTTCTTTTTCTTTGCTCCTTAAGTCATCTTTGTCTATGGTGCAGATTTGATTTTTTTACCTAATGTGTGTTGGAGGAATTCTGAGTAGTTTTCTGGGAAAATAGTCTTTAGCTGCCAGTGCCCTGATGATGCATCTCTAAGGCATCTTCCTCCAATTTATTGAGTGYTCATTCAAAGACAATGAGACATTCTGCTGATGCCATTGAATAGGACTCTTTGTGCTGCACYACTCACAGATATTTGTGGGTTTTATTTTGAACTTTAAATACCAGCTTGGCTTACCTAGTAGGAAACAGTTTTTCACTGAGTCTTAATTTRTGATTTATCTTAAGGCCGGATATTCCAAAGTAACATCTGGCATATACTTTTCTCTGAATAAATTTGTTTATTCTTGCAGCTCTGTAGTAAATAGGAATTTCCTGAAATCAGAAGCAATTTTAAGGTGTCTGTTGCTGAGTCTTTGAGGAGATTTGTATCTGTGCCTATTTCAGGTGCCACTGAAAAGTGCAGTACAAACTTTAATTGCAGCTTTTCCTCACCTCCTCCGATAKAAGATCATGGGAATTATAGTATTTTCTGTTTGTTTTTATCTTTTTCCAATAACGAGGTTTTTTTTCCTTGAGAAGCAAGCCAGTATCCACCATGCCATAATCTGTGTGGAATGTGTGTGCAGAAATGGAGTGGGTGGCAGCATTGTGGTGTGTGTCCCTGACAGAAGCCTGAATTAATTCTGTGGGGTGAGGTTGATCACACGGCTCAGTGTGGCCTGAATCACTAATCTGCTGTTGTGACTGACCTACAACTGCTGCAAAAACATTTCAAACCTACGTGCTCCAATTTTTCTGAACATGAGTATGTTAGGACCTAATATGAATTTCAAAATCAAGCCTCTCTTTTTGCACGTAGTCAGAAGCCTTTTAGTAYTTTAAAACGAAGCCTTTGCTATCGAAACAATGTTGATTTCAGTGCCAAACTAAAGTGCATCTGTGATTTGGATGGAGCAGCTCTACTTTGTAGGTTTGGAGAATATAGTAGCTCTGGAATTGTAAAATGAACGTGTTAAATTTGTCATATTTCTCAAGAAGAAGGGAGATTCAATATAATGTCATTTATCATGGGAGGTTATGAAAGCTTTAAAAGATYTTTTTTTCTCTTTAACTAGTTCAGGAAAAGAGATTACCTTCTTTCTACTAGCATTCATAGAGACCATAATCTGTCTAATCTTTTCATGGTGTGATCAGAGGCAATTTGTTTAACTGTCTCATAATCCTCAGTAATTTTGTCCATCTTCCAGCATGAGTTACCAGAGTGAAAACAATGTTCCAATCTCCATCGTGCTTTATCACTGGGACAGCTGTCAAAATAGATGACATTTCAGTAATAACAACTTCTACAAAGTGAAACATCAGTAGGAGCATTAGTTAAGTGTGACACCATCTAACACATTCTCAGCTTGAGAATAATCAAGTGGTATTTTTTAATATACACATAGTGAGTAATTTGGATACAAAAATACCTCTTGTGGTACAGCTATCTTTTATTTCCTAAAAATTTACTTCAACTTTGCAAAGCTGGAATTCTAAAAAGTGTAGAACATGGTGTTGCATTTACCGTTTGCACATCGATAGTTTTTTTCTAGTCCCAGTATTACCTGGACAGATTTCCGTGACCTTCACATGCCCTGTCAGTTTATGAGGCACAGTCGKGCTAGGACGTGCTTTAGAGACAGACTCTGAAATGCCAGGAAATTATTGAAGTGCTGCTTGCTGGCATTCTACCGAACTGAGAAAATGATGGCTAGAGGGAATAACAGTTTTCTCATGTGGGTTTAAATTGCTACTGAGCACATTTTTCTGTCTTTTTGGCAAGAAAATAAGAGTAAGGTTTCTAGAATTTACCAGCATCATTCCCAAGTCTCCATCCTGCTTTATCAATCACCAGTCTGCCATTGGGACCATCATGGAGAAAGAACAGAGGCATCGAGCATGGAGTGCATTGCAGCTGTATGGATGAACCAAAATCTCAGCTGTGTCACACAGGGACGGGAGATGCAGAAGGAGACACGGGAATGGYAGCAGAGGATGAGATGGAACATTGGAATGAGCTGCTGTTTGTATTGGATGGGGGAACACTCAGTAGAAACAGGGACAGGAATGCCCACATCCTGCCCCTGGGGTAGCCAACAGAACTTTCAGTGCAGTCTTGGGAACCTCTTTGTCACAAAATCCTGCTGCCAACTGATTCCCAGCTTCCAAAACCTGGGAAGTTTCTTGCCAGAGGTGCAGCAGTGTGTCCCAGCAAGCCAAGTGCTCACTCTGCCACGTTAACTGTGGTACAGGCAGGAGCCTGGCAAAGCATCCTGCTGCTCTGCCATCCAAGCAGGTTCTGGGCTGCAGCCTTGGACAAGATATCTATAGTGCTCAATGGCCATTTTTTTTTAATGAGCAGTGTTCAATTACTTTTTGATTTGAATGCAAAGAAAATCTTGCAAGATTAGGCAGATGGAGAAGCAAGAATGTTGTATTGCTTTTGTTATTCTCCAAATTGTAGCTCATAATTTATTATACTGTTTTTTTTTTTTTACTCAATCATTACTCTCTGAAATGGACAATAAAGATGAAGAATTGCTGTTTGTTATGCTGTAAGGTCTCTGGGGTGCAGTTCTATTTGTTCTGGAAAGAAAGTTTTGGTGTGATAAATTCTTACTCATTTTGTTATATCTGTGCATTATAAGCTAAACCTTTTAAGATATACTGTCTTCTGGGGATTWCTATGCAAGGTCTTATTTCCTTCTCCACTTTCTCTTTTACAAAATTAATTCCATAAGCAAAACTCAAATACGCACTTCTGCAAAAGCAAGTGTATTAAGTTCAAATTTGGTTTGACCTAATAGTTCATCCACCAATACACTGTGGTATTAGTATGAATTACAGGTCAATAGCATAGTTAGAACAGACACAAAATGTACGTGAGCGGTTGCAGAGAACTGTCACTTTGACARAGGATCAAAGCCCTCTCTTGTAGGAAAATTGACATTTGAAAGCTGGGAATTTCTTGAGGTCGATTTGAAGTAGAGTCAATGTAAGAAAGTGTAGGGCTTTGATTTGAAATGTCAGCTTTAAAAATAACTTTTTTGAAAAGAGTTCTGAGTTCAATAGCTTCCACATTCTTMATGAAGTCTTGGTATTTGGTCAGATTCTGCTATATTATTCCATAACAGTGAAATTCTGGATATTTCATTTTCTTATCTTGGCTAYGAATTACCTGCTAACAAAATTTGTTTTATTAAAGATATCCCATGTCACAGAAGGTTTAGCAGGAGCAATTTGGGAAAAGTCTGTGTTTGAACATTTAAAGCAACAGGTTAATTGTTATTAGTGAAGGACATATGATATCCTTAGGAGAGCTAAGTGATGGYATGAGCTGCAGGATCTGACACGGATCTGTGTGATGGCACCATCTATGCAGTCTCACTGCTGAACACGTGGGGAAATCCACGTTTGAAAGCACGCCTGGTTCCTGGCTGTCCCAGGAGTGTCTCTGGCAGTGACCGAGAGCAGCTCCCCGGTCCTGCCGGGCTTTGGGGGACGGTGCTCAGCCCGGGTGGAAGGGGTCGGCGATGACCCCCGTGCCCTGCCCTGCTCTCCCCCAGCCCTACCCTGCCTTCCCCGGCCCCGCCCTGCCCTGTCCATCCTAACCCTAACCCTGCCCTCCCCTCCCCGGGCCCTGCCCTCCCCCGGCCCTGCCCTGCCCTCCCCGGCCCCGGTGCTCGCTCCTCTCCGATAAAAGCTGGGCGGCACGGCGGGCTCCGGGCGATGGAGGCGGCGGTCGGGCGGGCGCTGCTGGCCGCCGTGGGGCTGCTGTCGGCCCTCAGCGCGGCGGGCACGCTGTTCCTGCTGGCGCAGTGGCGGGAGCTGGGCGCGGCGCTGCGGGAGCTGGAGGCGGCGGGGAACGGCTCCGTGAGGGGCCTGCCCGGGCCCGGGCCCGCGCCCGCCGCCCGCACCAAGCGCAGCCGCCGAGGGGAGCGAGCCCGCGGCACCGTCCGGGCCGACAGCGACGAGATGCTGATGATGCTGACCTACTCCATGGTGCCGGTACGGCCGCGCTCGGGCAGGGGCGGAGGAGCCGGGGCTTGTCCCGGGGGTGGGCTCTCCGTGTGCCGGTCCCGCCCGGCCGCCTCACCGGGAGCGCACAGCACCGGGCTGTGCCCATTGCCCGCTCGGTGAGCGCTGCCTGTCAGAGCTGCTGCACCGCACGGCTCTGGCATTAAACTTCACCCTTAAACCTCAGCGTCAAACTTCAGGAACGAGAGTTGCACAAACAAAAAGGAGCGAAGTTGTGGATTTGGTGAAACTCCCAAAATTTCGTTGCAATAACAAGCCTTCCAGTTCCCAAGGTTTCCTGTTTTTAACACCACTAACAACCCCCGTGTGTTTTCTGCTGTTCAGTATCTCAGCATAAGGCACTGGCAATCACTTTAGCTAACATCTCTTTGAAATTGATMATGCCCTTTTAAATTTAACTCTTATTAAGATGATACTTGATGGATCAGAACTGTATGTCCTTTTTCTGGCAAAACTGCATAGTTTTTTCCACATCAGTGAAAAGAGGATCTTGCTCAGTAGGAACTATGTCAGGTAGTTGAAAAATTACACARGTTGTATAGTTGAAAAAATTTGAATAGGTTGAAAAGCTTTTAAGTTTTGAGCTAGAAGAAAGGCAAGAAAAATATTACTGTTGAGGTAACCTTAGTGGAAATTGTCCTAGCAAGGATTGCGGGTCTGGGCTCACAAAAAGCAGGAAAATGTAACTTAGGCTCTTACTTATATATTAATACAGCTGGTTTTAGAAATTACTTACAGAAAATACCTCTTCAGTGAAGTTCTGATGATATTTTTTAAAATAACCTATTTCAATCTTCATTTTACAGTGATAACACCTCCATTAATTTTAAGGCTARTGAGATGGTTGAGCGCAGGTGTTCAAAGCATAGAGTTTTGATAATGACTTTGTTTGGAATATTTGTTTTTTTAGCTAGGCCCTTTAAGTCCTTGGGCTTTGGTCTTAGAATTGCAGTACAAGACTTCTGCAAAAAGTAAAAATCTGTAAAATCTCATGGTTTTGTACTCAAAACTGTCTTTTARATAACTTCTTTAACGAAGTCATCCCTGAGTTTGGCAGCTGCACTTTGTTTTGCACTATCTGACATGAACAGCTTCTTTGAGTCCAAGGGATCCACAAAATGAAATTATTGGAGAAATGATTGATCCTGACAGGGCTTGACCACTGTCAATGCCATTTRCTGCTGGGTGCTCAGACTGGAATTAGCTGCAGTTGGGTGTCAGAATAATTTTGACAGTGGCCATTGAATGTGCTGCTCTGCTGTCCATGAGTTTGGATTACAGGAACTTTACTGCCCTCTCCCAAGAGCCCTGAGCACATGGTGTGGATTTTAACAGCGTGTGGCCAGACTGTGCACTTGTGCCTCTAAATGTCCACTGGGGTTGCTGCTCTGGGTGATAAGCTTCCTTTAAATTTATGTATCCTGCAGGGAATTGTTCGGAGGGTTTGATGCTTTTTTGTCCTTACAAAACTCCCATCAAACATTTTGAATTCTGGCTGCTGCTCAGAAGAGTGTGCAACTGTGTGCAGAATGACTCGCTCAAGGGGAAAAAGCCCTTAGAAAATATTCAAGCACCCCCTCCTCCCACTCCTGCATTTCTGTATTGTGAATTTAACTCCCACTAACGTAATTTGAAGACTTGGCTACTTTTGTAGTGTGAGACAAGGTTCCTTAGAGTTGGTGGGCTTTGGAATGACACTCCAGCCTTGCTGGATGTGTGCCCTGAGTGGAGGTTTGGCCTGAGCAGGTTCCCTCTGCCAGGGGAGGCTTTTGTGGAGCTGGCACTGCAGGGACCAGTGTCCCACTGTTGTGGGACAGTGTTTATGAATCTTTGAAATAACCATAGGCATCAAAAATCATATGTTGGCTTTGATAACATGARTATATTTTTTGTTCAGGGCCTGTTGTTTATGTGTTTATGTATACATGTATTTTTTTGGTAAGAGAGTAAAAAGGAAATTGGCAAATCTGCTGCTGTAGAAAGACTGATGGGAGGGTAACAGGCCAGGAAGGTTCAAAGTATGGTTTAAGTGCAAGAARTGGTGGCTTATGGTGGCTACCAACTATCTGAGTAGTTGTTTCATAGTTTTACCACCATTTCTCCATGAGAAAACCAAGCTTTTAGCATTTAAATAAGGTGTTTTTTATCTGTAGCTTTTTTTTTTTAGTGATGCTGCTGGCTCTGAATGGTCTGCTCATCTTTCATAGCTGAGCTGTAGGTTCTGCCACAGGCTATTTGTACTTCTTCAGTGCCATGTTATTTAATTGTCACCTGAGTTGCATTGATTGATAAAATTAGTGCTGCTGAGATAATTGGAGGGCCCCAAACCAAGTTGCAATCACTTCAACAACCTCGGCAGAACYATTAACTTGAAATGCAGTTAGAATTAGAGCACATGTGGACAATGTGTGTTTTACAAATTTAGGGTGGGAGCCAAGTGTTTTTGAGGAGTTTGAGGGGGAAGAGAACAAGCATATTCTGATATTCAAAACCCATTAACACTTCCCAGCTAATTTAAATTGAGTCTAAAATTTTCAGTGTAAGAGCTGTTCTGGTACAGTTTGAGTTTGGAATCAATACATTCTCAGTATGTATCAGACAGAACAGGAACTCATTGTCAAATATGGTTTGGTTTTGCAGCAAAAGAACACTTGCCATCAAACTAATTGTTCTCTATTTGAGGCTGYTAATTTTGGCAGCTGAAAGTAATGATGCATTAATTTAAAAAATAATGATTGACAGCAGCAAATAACCTTGCAGGATTAAACTCCAGTCTGCCTTTCAGATTGCCTTGTGCTTGTTTGTTCTGTCTTTTGGGATTAGTGCATTCCATTAATTGTAAATAGAGTAATTGTTCAAAGGTGAATACAACTCTGAGTAAATGGCTCATAAATCGTCACTGTACAGCCCTGAAATRGTGACCATTTATTTTGTGGCTGTAAACATTAGACTTTCCCATAGAGAGTTGAGGGACTTCCAGAGTTCATGGTCGTAATATTTTTATTTCTGCTGTTTGTTTTGATRAGTTGCAAAATATTTTAGAGTTGACTGTCATTATGCAGGACATGGAATAGAATGTTTGCCCAGCCAAGAATTGTGTCTTTTGTAAAGACCACTCCTCTGTWGATACATTTTAGTCTACTCTAGATTAGAAGATTTTTGTCTTCCAGCTTGGTTTGGTAAAGTCTTGTCTTTTTGCTTGAATAAATTTGAGTGGATGAAGGTCCATTTCAAATTTGCAGATCTTGGTTATTCAAACATAAGAAATTGCCTCCTTGGAACTTAGGCCATCTTTCTCCCTGGATATGCTACATTAGAAAAGTTTCCATCACTTAATGGAAGTATAAAATAAAATTGAATGTAAGTTTTACTGGCTGATGTTGGATTTTAATACCTTCCACTGATAGAGCCCATGCATGGACAACCACATGTGTTACAGTAATGTGTGAAATTTAATGACTAGGTGATGGATGGAGTTTTCTGCTCAATATTTTATTCATATTGAGGTCTGTCGAACAGATTCCTGTGAGAGAAAGAATGCATGAAGTGATGAATGATGTCACAGTGTTAAAGTAATTCTAAATAGCTTATTCTAACAARCACAGAGGGCCAGTTGTATCTTTGTTTTTGGAATTATTTCTATAGGTAAAGTGAACCAAATCCTTTCACGTAATACATTGTTTTCAACTTTACTTTCTTTGCAATATTAGGTCCGAGTGATGGTGGATTTGTGTAACAGCACGAAAGGGATATGCTTGACAGGTATGTTTGTGGCCTTAAACACTGCATTTACATCACGTCCAGGAACACAGAAACATGATGTTTTCAAAGAACATGAGGTCAATAACTGTGTCCAAAAACTATGCCATTTATCAGAGTTAAAAATCAATATGAATAGGTGCCACTTTGGGACTTATCTGTACCCTCTTAATGGAAATGCTGGAATTTCAGAAGCATGGAGCTCTACTTGGAGCCATTTCATTTTCATGCAATTTTCATAAACAACTCTTTCAGACTTGCATGTTTAAGATACTAGTTGATATTTAGTCATGGTGTTTTTGTGTATGTCACACTTCAGGCCCCACGTGGGAGGGACATGCAGGGTGTAAATGCTTGTTCCCATCRTTACAACTGCAGCAGGACTTTGTGAACAGCTTGCTTTCCTCAGCTGCATTGCTCCATGGATGCAGGATGTCTCACTTGTCACCAGTGGGGATCTGGAGCTGCTGAGGGACAAGAGAAGTATAAAAGGTTTTATGGGGTTTGGTGAGGAGTGGCAGGGAGCAGCCAATTGAAGAGCTGTGGTGCAGCTTTGAGGTCGCTCACAGAACAAGCTGAGTTCCTCTTGGAAATGAGAAGATTGGAAAGATGACAGTTTTTWTGAGTTAAAGAAAATGCCTCGCTTGCTGTCTGGCTTGAATTTTCATATGGAAATAGGGGTCATTTGCCTCAACTGATTGAACAGAAATGAGAATTACCACTGTACACACAGATGTTAAACACTCCTGAAGCTGTAGATCAGTTCTGATTTCAGCAGTGGCTGTACCACAATCTCCATTTGCTTCTTTGGGCTTCAGACTTGTGAATTCTGCACTTTGTGCCTTCTGCACCTTTTTCTTTCCTAACACCATTAAATGAGTGGCTTTCTCTGCTCTCAGTGACATTTGTTGCTTTTCAAGCACCTTTTAATGCATCTTATGCTTGTACAAGGAGCCTCAGTTTATGGGATGAGGAAGTAATTGAATTCACTAATGRATGTAATTTAGTGTGGAAGAAGTGGCCATTTACTGGAAAACTGGCAAAAAGATGTTAACCGATGATCCTGCCTGTATGAATTAAAAATGATAATTCCTGTAAYGGTATTTTAGAATAGTTTTCACTTTACTCATAATGTTTTGTAGTTAATGCTGAAAATTGTCATCTTTAGGAAAATCTAGTAATTGCTGTTTTTTCTCTTGTAGAGAGTTTGGTTGAAACAAGGCAGTACTTAGGCTGGATAAAAATGTTCACAGAGCTGATCTGGTTCTTTATTTTCGACTATCACCTTTGTATTCTAGTGGTTTTCCTTTCTTTCTTTTTTTTTTAACGTGTATTGGGGATCACAAATGATAAATCACAAATTGTGGCATTCATCAGTATTGTAAAGCTATTATTCTTCTACTAGAACATGTTTTTGGAGAACACTTGCATAAAGGAGCTGTAATGATTGTGAGGTGTCTTGCACCCATGGCTTTGTGAAGGCACCAAAGACCCCGACAGTGGGATTTGTCAAACCAGACGTTGTTGTCAAACCTTTATTAATTGAAATTTGAAAATGGCCAAATGTGTACATATGTAAATGTGTTGAAGGATACTGTCCTGAGTTACTGTTAATGCTCAGATAGTTGTTTGTTGTATAAAGCAGTTAAACAGATAAATGTTCATTTTGAAATTTGAGAGGTTTTCTTCCCTTTTTACTATTCTGATCTAGTGCTAATCAGTTCRATTTGTTTGAATTGCTTTGTTTTCRAATCTCACMATTTCTTCTTTCATGTGTTTTTTTTTCTCTCTTTTTATAGGCCCCCCAGGYCCCCCAGGTAAGATACTCGGACAACTGCAGTAACATTTTGGGCTAATTGAAACAGTTTCTGGTACAAAATATTGAAATACAGAAATCTATCTTTCACAAAATGGTGTTCCTTTGCTAATTAGATTAAGGGAGGGTTGAATGACTTCYTGCCTTTATAAAGCTTGTATTTAAGTCAGCTCATGCCCCTTCTGGGAGGGGGGAGGTTTTGGACATTTTAATTTTCTTGTAGAGGGAACAGGACATTTGATCAAAACTAAATTGTTTAAGCAGCATTAAGGTGAAGAGAGGAGTCTATATATTAAGCCCCCAAGGAAATGGATATTATAATTTAACATTAAAACCATKTTTAAAAAACATATTGGTTATTGATTATCCCCTCCCACCTCCCACCTCTMTCATAGCTTTTCCTCCTTTCTTATTTAATTCTGTCTCAGTTCTCACTCAGGTGGTTGCAAGGCTAGATTMTAAATGGTTATTTGTTTTCTTTCTGTGCTGCTTAACCTGTGGGTCTTTCTGTGCTGCTTGGTTTGGGCAGGGCCTCCTGGACGGGATGGACTGCCTGGCTACAATGGATCAGATGGAGTCCCAGGCATCCCAGGACAAAAGGGAGAGCCAGGAATAAATGGAAAAAGAGGAAAAATAGGTACAGTTTCTCTTCATAGGTTACAATGCTGCTTTGAAATCCAAATGAAGTACAGCTACCCAGCTAAATATAGGTAAAAATAACAACCTAGAGTGAATATGGTTTGTGGTAAAAATATGTATTAATTGGTGCTTAATACTTGAGCAGGGTTCATGATACTGAAGTGCTTTTTATTTCCAGGTGTGCCAGGACCAAAGGGTGATCCAGGACAGAAAGGAGAACCAGGAGAAATGGGTTTACCTGGCAAGGATGGTATGCCAGGAGGAAAAGGTGCAAGAGGAGCCAAGGGAGAAAAGGGGGATGCAAACAATGATGTGATATTAGAAGGTATGGAGAAGCGATTTTGGGGAGTTCTCTTGGACAGTGTACTTGACATGTAGAGATTTGCACCACTTCTGTGGAGTGAATGTGATCTGCAGGGGCAGGACCAGCCTGGATAAATGAGGTCTGGATACATAGCGCAGTCTGAGGATTGCTGTGCCCAGGAGATTGCTCTCTTTGCAAGGCTTCACAAAAACTTTTCTGCTTGGCCTTTAGGTTGAGGTGTATGTGAATTTCACCCTTTCCAAAATGCTTTTGTACCATTGAACTCCTCCTGCTCTTAATTTCAGTGTAGTTTTATTTTTCTGCTAGAGAATGAGGATTATRTGAAGCAGCCAAATACAAGCTGTGTAAAATTACAGCAGTGTAGCGTCTGAAACTGAGGTCTCAAAATACAGAAAGTAAAAGGCAGCTCTGTAATCTGTAATCCAGACAGATAAAATGCATTCATGTCCTACTCCATGAAGTTCTGAGTGGTTCCCCTTCTCACAAACAGCATTTCAGTGAGTTTATTGCACTGTATTTSTGTTGTCAGAAACCTTTACAGAGAGAGGCTGTTGTGTGGATGTCCTGGGACACGTACAGTTCTCTGCAGGTCCCCTGCTGCCTGGGCAGGGCTGTGTCCTGACACTGTGATTTGTATGCAGGTGCAAAAGGTGAGCCTGGACCACCTGGGCCCCCTGGACCTCCGGGACCCCCGGGGCCTCCAGGCAAACGTAAAGGTAAAGCCAAAGCACAGCTTGAGGAGAGCATCTACAGCAGCACATGCACAGGTCAGTGCTTTCCTGGGTTCTTTTCCCTGTTATGAACAGGTTTAAGATTAAACCACTACTTCAAGGCTCACAAAACAGTAAGCAAGAGTGTAACTTAGTTGGCATCAGTAAAACTGCACAGGCCTAAAGCTGAACATGTGCTTAGGTGTTTTGCTAAAACATAATTTGAATAAAGCAGCAGGTAACCCWCAGTGCAATATCAGTCTTTTAATTGTGTTTTGCTAATGCTCAGGCAAAGTATTTACAAGTGGTGTTTTCTGTTAGATGGGATAAATTAAAAAAGTAAGAGAAACTCAGTTGAAATTTTTGGTTTTTAAATGCTGAATTTTTCATTTTACTTGTGAATACAACACCCTGATTCTGGATATTGAAGTGTCAGAGCCCAGAGAGCCTCCTTACAATGGAGAGAGCTGGAGCAGAAATCTCATCCTGTTTGCAGTTCAGAAATGCATGGACTGTTGTATGAGATAATTGGGCCATTTGCTCAGGTGGCCTCTTTTCAAGTGTTGAAGCCAGCTGAATTGCTTTGGGGGATAAGCTATGTGGTAGATTTCTGATGGATTTTAAATCACAGTGTAAAAATGGGAGTTACACTCAAATAACTGCAAAGATGAGATCTTCCTCAATGACCTTTTATGCTTTATGACTCAGCAAACCATGAGATCTTATTACCAAAATTCAATGAATGATCCAGCTTATGTAACTAAATATTAATCTCTCTTTCAAGGAAAGAGAATACATATGCTGATTTACAACTGTAATTAATTTATTGCATAAGAATATAAGACTGGCTTTTTCAAATTAAATTTTGCATCAACTAAAACTTCATTTCTTCAACTGAAGAGAATAATTAGTTGGAAGCTCAAGTGTATTTTTTCTCCATGGTACTGTTAGAGAATTCTGAAAAAAAACCCCATCTCTGCTCCATCCTCCCCACCTTCCCCCAACAGACCAAATGAATAGTTTTAATGACTTGTAAACTCCTTTAGCTCTCAACCAGAATATTTTATGATAGGAATCAGTCGGATATTTATCTTGTTTTCTGATGGAAAGAAAGTAGTGAAAATTTCCCATAAGGATGTCTGATTGAAAACTGTCTTTTTAATTTTAATTGCTTTCTAATTCGTGCAGCTGAAGGTATTGCAGATATTCTCAAATGCAAATAGTGCACTCAGCTTTGCCACAAACATTGATCTGGCCCCTGACTGTCCTATAGCTTAGATAAACTACTGTACAGGGAACTGCTCCTTCACTCAACTGCATCTATCAGAGTCAGCCCAAGAAAATTAATTTGTGCATTGCAATTTATAATTTCTGCTGAGGGATTTTTCTTYTTGAAATATTCTGGCAATATGTTGGAATCAGAAGCTGGATGGGGATCTTGAGGGATTGGTAAATTCTAGCTGAAGGCATTCAGCTCACCATTGTTGGGTGGACTGTTTGTGTCTTACTTGGAGATACACTGTGATCACTTGCAAACTATCAATGTCAGCTCAGCAAACACCCGAGATAATGGATGGGAGAAATACACTTTGTTCTGGCTCCATCTTGGAGTAATTTTCTTCTGCATGAACAAAGGGAGGATAGGACCTAAAGGAGAAAACAACAATGCAGTGTAATCTGTCCTTTCTTTCCTGAATGTCATGATACCCTTCCAGCATTACTTTATGGTTATTTCCTATTTTCACTATCTTTCTCACTTGAACTTCATCACAGACCTGTAAATCCAAGAAATATATTAGAAGGCAACAATGAAAATGCTTGTCTAAAAAATTTGCAGCATGTGTGTTAAGCAGTGTGAAATGCTGGAAATGAAAATTAAGAATGGAAAATAAGGCTACAATGAAATCAGAAAAAAACTCAGCAAAGAGCTGAGAACTGTTCATGTGTTTATTCATTCTAAGCAAACTGAAATCTGCCATATTGTTTTAAGGGCAGAAGAGATACCTGGCTTCACAGAAAAGCGTCCGTAAATAATTTAATTCAGGCATTGTTTTAACAATGAATGCTRAGAGAAAATCCAACCCATTGCTTCTTAAATAGTTGCTGGATGGGGAAAAAATGTTTCCAGGTGTTTGATTCTAATGTGAACCATTGTAGGTGTGTAAGCAAYAGAATGTGTCATTTCCCATATACATCATCCTGCTTTAGGGGCATGAATGTCAGCAGCATGCATCATGTGCTCAGTGTGTGTGTTAGTGATTTATTGCTGTTATTTATTTCTATAACCCCTCTCTGCCCGTGTGTGGGGGTTTGGGCATGAAGCATTTCAGTTTAGCAACCAATAAAAYACTTTTGTTGTTACTGCTAATCCAGCCATTTGSCAGCTACCTCAGCTGTCTGAAGTTWTCTCMTCAAAGGGGCGACTCTCTCTTCCTAAGTGGCTACTAGAAATTCACAGTTTAGGGACTAAATCTGCTGATTTAATTAGTTACTTCTCAAAGTTGTCTGTCAGCCTGAACACTTCATTTCCTTGGCAGAAGTGAGAGCAAGTCTTATCTCATTTTTTGACCAGACAAACCTAAGCATTTTTTTCCCAGGTGAAGCAAAATCCCAGTTTTCATCCCTTTGTTTTAGTGGAGTCACTGATGTGCCCATCTATCATGTCAAACAGGGTAAAACCTGTCACTTTTCTCTTTCTGCCTCCACTCCAGGTGAGACATGTGCTGTACCAAATGATGATACCCTGGCTGGAAAAACTGAAGAGAGAACCCCCGGTCCTTCAAAAAARCCTGGTAATCTTCTACAAAGCATGACTTCAGTGCTCCTTTCTCTCTTAGAGTCACAGATCATGGACATGTGCTTTTCCCCCCCCTAGAATGTGTCATAACATCTGTGGGAAGTCCTGTTCACTTTGTCAGTGTACAGCAAACGTTTGGAACKTGGATGCGGGAACCTGCAAACATAAGTGATGAAAGGATTTGGCTCACCATGCATTTTTCAGGTATTTTTAGTTGTAGCCAATGATCAAAATTTTGTGACATTGCTTCCTTAATCCCTTCAAACTAAATTCATAACTGTGATGAGTTTTTACCCACATTTTTTCAGAATATTTTCCATATTACCTGTATAATACTTGACTACACATATGGTTGTAGGCATCTGTAGTATATTTGCACCTTTTCAGAGTCAACATCAGATTTTGAAAAGAGCTTGATGTTTTTGTTTTGTTTTTTTTTTTTAAACAAATCCAAGTTTAAATGTCTATTTTTCATGGCTCTTTCTCCTTTTCTTTCAACAGTTTCTGTTTCCTATGATTTACTTCCCTACATTATAGCTTGGAGTTTTGCCTTTTCATTTTGCTAGGCATGAAAATGAGTCACATGCTGCAAAAGTACATTTAGAGCAGGAAAATGTCCAGGACCAAAGTGGAAAAAGGAAATATTTCTGCATACACATCCACTGTGTTCAGAATGAGGGCCCATTAGGTGTGTGGGAAGCAGGCTCTTGATCATCTCCTCTATAAATTTTKCTTGTATGTCTCTGGACTTTTTTCACATTCCAGCAAACTGAATCACTATTGAAAAAGCAAACACAATTGTCTGTCAGATGGTTGATTGAGGTGGATTTTCAATGGAGATTGAACTTTACAATAGATATTTTAAAAATAGATGAACCAAATGAGAATCTTTTTTTTTTTTTTGCATGTTTTCCCCTTTGTTTAGGAAACTATATAAAGGAATATGAAAATTCCAATGCCTTGCTGAATGACAGCTACAGGATCATCAACATCACAGGATTTTTCTACGGATGTGGTCATGCAATACAAAACAATCATCTCTACTATCAGAAGGGAGGAACCAATGTCATTCTGAAGTAAGTCAAAGATAGTTGGCCCCAAGCCAGGGGTTGTGGAAGGAGGGGCGATGGGTTAGAGTGCCAGAGGGGAACCTCAGGAAAGCAGACAATTCTCCTTGTAGCACTTTGTGTCTCTTTTTGGTCCTACTTAGATAGGAAGAATGGTTCAGTGTACTTTCCAGAACAGAATAACTAATTCTTTCCAATCTGTAGGTGCAATACAAGCCACCAGCCTCCATTTGTGTCTGGGAGGATGGAAATTGGGACAGTGCCCAGGAGCTCTTCTGTGCTGTGACTGCTCCTGAGGCATTGTCCAGCTCTATTTCAGGGTTCACCTGTGCAGGTCCCACAGGGCAAAGGGGCGCCAGGAGGAACGAGATGCCATGGGCAGAGAGGACAACAGATTTCCCTCTTGGCTGTCCTGGGATCCAGCATGTTCTGCTGCTGTGAGCATGCTTCAACTTGGGTTGTTTGCTGTGTTCTTAATCCATTCTCATTTCTTTCCTGTGATTAAGGAATTTTGGGTATCATAAAAAAGGATTAGATTTAGAAGAATAAGCTGTGCATCTACCTGCATCTGAGTCAGTAGAGGTTGAGCTGCAGTGTGGGAAGCACGGCTGGGTGGTTTTGTGACTGTGGCCCACTCGTGAAAGGTGGCTTTACAGAGTCCTTGCTGTGCTCTGCTCTGGCTGGCACAGGGGGATGGACTGAGGCACCTKCTGGGGACAGGGTGACCCAGAGAACTGCACATTTCCCTGGGGAGGAGTGGCTCCAGGGTTTGATTTCTTCATAATAAGAATTTTCTGCTTACTTTCCCGATATATCTCCCTGAACCGGAAGTGGGAATCTCATCTCATTTCAGTTTCCACTGGGGACAGACAGACAATACAAATCAACCCCAAAATCTCACCTTGTGGGAAGAGCCAAAGACAGTCCAAGGTCAAGTGAAAGATTGTGTGTGCTTTCAAGTTCTTACATGACTCTGATGTCTGAGCCAAGAACATTTACTATACTTTGATGTCTGTTCCTAAGCAGGTGTGAGTGCCTTCCTATATTCATGTGGATGCCAAGGAATGTCAGCAAGCTGCAAGGATTCTATAATATTTATGCTGCCAAGCACAAGCTCACTTTTTGGCAGCCTCCTTTAAATACCTTTAGGCTTTTTCTCTGGTGGTCTGTAAAAGACCATCACTGCCTAAGCAATGCACAGTGATAGGGCAGAGGTTCCTCACCTTAGCTTGGATACTGTTGATTGGAAAAAGCCTTCAAGTACAGATGAACACAAACTATTTGTGGAATTTTCAAATCCTCTCAAGGAGCTGCTGAGAAATGTGCTGAGAAATGTTTCATAACATGCTTTACTATCTCCATTTTTTTTTTATTGACTTCGTTGATATTAGTGATCAGAAAAGTGTTTGTAGCTTGAGTTCTGGTAGTTGGTGAAACAATTATACTATATCTTGTCATTTACCCCAGATGTCAGAAGATTAAAGTATTTTGAAACCATTTGGAGTTCCAGGGGAGGCTGGCTGTAGTTGTCTGGGAGAGCCCAAGACAACCTGGGAATTAAACCTCACTTTTTTACTCCCTTCAGGTTTTTCACATAAAACAGGAAAAGACAGGGTGTTGCAGAATTCGTGCATTTCTAATAAATCTTGAGATGCTTTCTATCTTGTTAGCTCTTTATAGAAAAGAATCCTGAAGAAAATCTGCATTTCTGAGCAGCTAGTCCTGTTAAGGGCTGTCCTTATACCCCTTGCATGAGGTTATTTACAGATGTGAAGCAATTAATAGATTAACAGTGTTGACACACATAGTCCTCAAATCTTCTCCACTCTTTAACYATTTTTTTTATTACACATACATGCTGCTGGAATATGGAGTTGCTGCAGATGTGGGTTGTACAGAAGCTGAGGGGAATAATCTRAGCTGGTTATTCCTGATTAAGGATGATTTTTCCAATATAAACTATCAATGCCACTTAAAAAGAAAAATTMTTCTTCCAGCATAGTATGTTCCTGGATCTGAAATGTTCCTATGATTAAGCCTGTCTCTTCAGAAAAATTACTTGTAAGTGTAGCAGACTTCTGTATTGAGTAGCATTTTTCCTTCCTCTATTTGAAGAATGGAGTCAGACACTGAAACAGGCTGCTTTGCAGAGGGCATTATTTAAAAAGATAGAGCCACGCTCTCCCTGCCTTTGCTGAAGCATTGTCTTATTGGGTGATTAAATTCTGACTGCAGTTGTATCTCGAGAGGAGCTGATTACCCTCCCAAACCAGGAGATGAACACGATTTAGCTGCTCGCTGCTCCTGCCCTCAGATTATCAACCTATTAAGGAATTTCAAGGAATAAAAACAATTTTATACATCARAGATGGAAGTGTTCAGGCTGTCCCATTGAGGCCAGCATAAGGTCACAATTTTGGCTCTGCAAAAGTGGAATTTTTATTCCTTTGATGTCTACTTGAGAAAATCTCTGCRTTATCTGAACTGTTTTCAGAAGAGGAACTCTTAAGACTGGGTGAACCTGCCCAGAATTCATGCTGCTTTGGTCAATCACATTTTTTCCCTTTAGTTCCCACCTAGTCAAAACCAAACTTTTGTACAGATTCCATTCCCAAGTTTCGATCTTCACCTGGTACCCASTTCTTTTTCATACCCATTCCTTTTAGTTGCTTCTTTCATCCTAGTGATAATAAAGCTCATAGACTAAATAAAATGAAACCTACCAAAGCCAAGTCCATGCTCTTGTGCACCTTTCAGATTGGTTATCACTTTGGAATTTTCTYCTGGTGTTTTGGAAGGTTCTTTGAGATCTTGATCTTAAAAGACATCAGAATAGTCCTTGAACAAGTATTTTCAACACCACATTTATCAGTGATTTACCCACACCGTGTGTGTGGCAATGRGCTTTGACCACCCGTGTTGAGTCCTTGCTGTATCTCATTTCAGACTCGGGCTCGATAAAGCCTCTCTGGGCACCCTGCTCATCAACAATGCCTTACACCATGGCCGGAACTACCTCTTCTCTAACTCCAAGACGTATTTCAACATCGCGGTGGACGAGAAGGGTCTTTGGATCATTTAYGCCTCAAGCACTGACGAGAATATAATGGTAGCACACGTTGATGAGGAAACGTTTTCAGTCCTTCGGCACATCAACACCACCTATCCTAAGTCCAAGGCTGGTAATGCATTCATWGCTTGTGGCATTCTGTATGTCACTGACACTAAGGACATGACAGTAAGTTTTGCTTTTGATTTGCTGAAAGGGAAGCCGATTGATGCAAGGTTTGAGTTACGTTCTTCGCAGTCTGTTCTTGCTATGCTTTCGTACAGTCTGCGAGACAAGAATTTGTACACATGGGAGAATGGGAGCTTGATGGTATACCCTGTACATTTTGGCAGATGAATATTTTCACATGCCATCTTTGACTCAAGGGTCTGTTTAAAGCTCTATGACTTACACATGGGGGTCTCTTCACTTGATGTAATTTTCGCTGATGGTGGTTTGTGTGTAAAAAAGGGAGATCAGGTGCCTTTGTATAAATACACTTCAGCTACACAGGCCCCCCTCCTCTTCTTAAAAAAATCACTATTATTGCTGGCACACAACCAACTTGGTCTTGGTTTTCCCCTGTTATTCAGCTGATAACTGTATGTAATGTACATTAATTATTCCATGGTCATTTGTTCAGCAGAGATTTTTTTGTACATTTCATTTACAATCATCTCTGGAATCATCTTCTAGTCACTGATGGTCTAACAAACATCTAAATAACTTTTGTGTACAAATACCTTTGTCACTTTCACTTAAGTCAGAGACTGTCCATTCATATTCAAATTTTTGAGATCTACAGGTGAGAAATCATGGTAACTTTCTGATTTTAATTTTGTTCTGGTATTTCAGATTTCTGAATTTAACATTGGAACAAAAATCTCTACCCTTGTTTTATGTACCTAGATTCAAAATCATGCTTTTAGAAAACCCCTATCTGAATTTCCAAGCTGCCTGTGCATATTGCTAAAGTTCATGGATCGCACCCAAATATTTAGAAGCAAAGTGTTATTTGAATCCTGAACTGCACTGAGCTGTTTAATACCTATGTGTGCCTGCAAAACCTTGTCTAGCAAATGTGCTGGAAGAATTCCTCTGCTGCAGCTAAGCTCCAGTGTGTAATCCAGGGCTGGCTGGGCTCTTCTCAGGATACTTGCTGTTACCACTAAAGCCTTCAATGCTAAGGAGAGAGATGCAGAAGGGAGCAAAGAATCATAATTAACAATTTCCACTAGTATATACATCAAAACTTACACACTAACACTTCTATACCTGTATAAAGAGTGTGACACTTCACACTCCAGAGCTACAATTCTGTGGGCTGCTTTTGACTTTTGTGGGGAGTGCGGGGTTTTTGGTTGGTAGTTTTTTTCATGTTTGTTTGATTGTTTTAAAAAYTGAATTGTGTTCTAATAAAGTAAACTTTTTCAGCTAAAATGCCCCCAAAGTCAGCAATATACTTGAGCAAACACAGTTCAAGTCAGATGTAACTGTTTCTAGAACAGGGAAAACTTCTGCCTTACATTGTTGAAGCACTTGGATCAACCTCTTGGAGAAGAAAGGCCAGGAAATTCTGCCTCTTTTCTCTGCTTCTTGCAGCTGTGGAACTGAATTCTGTTAACCTTGTACTTTTCTAGAACAGCTGACAATAATGTAAACAACTAATCTTTTTTATTTCAGCACAGTCTGAGGTCAGGAAGTATCCAGTCAATCTACTTGAGATTTAGATAAATCTGCTTAAATATAAGGAAGAGTTCAGAATTGGCTGTTCCATGAAATAAAAGTAATTTATTTAACTTACAAAGGGAAAACTAAACAGTGACATTTACTCTTTCTTCTTTTCATACTTCTCCTACTTCACAGGCTGCAATTTAAAATCACCTTTGGAGAAAGGTGCTTTTTATTCTAGTATATCTTACAATACAGCACAGACATCAAAATTTTCATTGGAGGAGTAAGACAGTTTGTTAACATTTAAATACACAGACATCCATTCCAGTCCTTGAAGAACACGTTTTTTGTTTACAACAGAAAAATACATCTGACAACAGTAGCTAGTTATATTACAAGCAAACAATATTGAACTCTGCATAGTTTATACAATATACTCTGGTAATAGTTTAATTACCAGTTTTATCCACTATTTACTAGCTGGCCACATAAAGCCTGACATTCATCTGAAATGTGGCATTATATGTTCCATTGGTATTCTCTTAACAGCTTCATTTAATGAAGTATTTTCTGGGCAAATGATTTTCAAAACTAAAAGCTGACTAGAAAGATGGATGTCTTCACTACAAACATTTAGTGYTTACAATACATTCCTAAAGTAAAGGCAGGTGTCAAATAGAAAACATAGCTCAGAAAGAAAGGAAAGTAGTGTGCAAATTAAAACCCATTGTGTTGATGTGCAAGATTACAGTATCAACTGTGCAATAATACTAACTGGGATAAAAATCTCAGCATAAAATGATACATCTCTCACAGTACGTCCTTGATTGCACATGTTCCACGGCGTTTGCATCCATTACACTTTCTGCGGAAATCAAATACACTGAGTACCCTTAATTAAAACTAAACTATTTTACAATGAGAAGTTGTATACATGCTTCATTTAGTGGGAAAAACTGGAATAAAAGTAATCAGAATCACGTCAGAAATGCTTACTGACCTGTAGAGCCACAGTGCTTGTTARGTGACTGACAACTGTCAGAATCTTTACAACACTACCAAATGCAGTTTGTGGGTTACTGAGCAATAACCCCCCATGACCAACAATACTGGGTTCAATTCCTTGCTTTTACCATCCAGTACATGCATTTCCACCCCAGTGATCCTTATAGGCCTATTCAAAATATACCTGTAGTAAAAGCATTGGTTTTCTCCCCATAATACTTAATGCTGCAGTAACTGCTTTGAAAGGAAACACAATGTTTTCTTTCCACAGTGCAGATCACTGTGTTTTTAGCTACTTAAAGGGACATTATAGAAACCAGGATTAGCTCACAGAACGCTACAGAATGTCAAAAATGCCTGAAGGTACATTGAAAGCATTGGGAAGAACCCTCATTTTCAGTGTCCCGTCTGCTCCACAGGAGAAGATACGATTGCCTTGCACAGTCTCAATCTGGGTGACACCAGCACCAATATTTCTGAAGAGGGATTGCTTAGCATGTTCATTTTTAAATGAATGAATTAAATTGTAGCCAGTCAGTCTCCACACCTGTATGAAAAGAATGACAAATGACAAAAGAAATGACTGTTAGAGGATTTGTGTTTCCTCCCTCAATGTTTCAGATTCCTGGCTGTTCTAAACCCTAATCAGCAAAGATAAAGGATATTTTTTGCTGCCCCATTGCAACAACTACAAGTCCAAGAGTCTTGAGAGGCTCCTGATGCAGTGTAAGGCTGCCTTACTGTGGACCAGCTGGTTACTGGGCAGGGTGAAGCTTCCCTGTGTTACCTGATCAGAATCCTCCTCCCAGCTGCCCCCAGTRAAAGCTGCAGAAATGGACAGGCTGCATTTTCATCCAAGATGACTACTGTCAGCTTTCCAGCAGCTGGAAATGCTTTCCTGCTAAGGAAGCTGCAGAGAGTAAGCTGCACAATTAATAAACATGCAGAGTGGTAGGAAGCACAGCTGCCCGTTTTATCCTAAAACAGGAGCCTCACCAAGGCCAGGCCATGAAAGCCCCTGTTAARCAATCCTCCAGCTAAACGAAAGAAAGTGTATTTGCCTTCTCTTTATCATTTTCTACTTCCTTCCTTTAGTATTCAGGTAAAAAGCCCCTTAAAACAGGCACTATAT